CATAACATTATTATGGATTTGTGTATTTCGAACTATCTTTTTTTCAGAATATAGCTCTAATCTTTCTCTGCAAAATGATATAATTTGATCAATAACTTCATAGAAGTTTGTTGTAGATATCTTCAATTTACTGAGAGGGGTCGAAACTTTCTGATCATCCTTTATTGTGTACTAACGGGTGACGCATACAGAATGAGTCTCCTGGTATTCTGACTATAACTTTTTTTTCTTTTTAACCCTTAGACCTGATTGTCTTCCCAAAGGATGCGCCGTTAAATTCTCTACAAAATCTAATAGAAACTATTTCTGTAAAAAGTTAAGGAGAAAAATTTAACGAAGAATATCTAACGCGTAGAAAAGAATCAACTTTCAAAGTTATTTTCATTTACAACCAAGAGTATATTTGAAACAACTCGAAAGAGAACGAAACAACAGTGAAAATGTTTTCGAGTACTTTGAAGTGGACTCTTTCTCGCCATACATTTCAAAGTTCATTCAAATCAAAATGGACATTGAAAAATTTAGCATTTCAAAACTTAGTTAAAAATGACCCAAATCTGTTGCTTTTCGTCGAGTAATTCAAAAAGAAAACTATCAGATAAACTTCAAATAAATTTTCATTGCTGAATCTGGTACAGGATTCATTTTTCCTCGTAACAAAAGTAATCCGAGCTCAAAAGCTGCAGTTCTGATTTAATTATACAATGTTTTCCATGAGCTCCGAAAAGTATAGATTTAAACAGCTGGATTTTCAAAAACTTCAAAGAGAAGAAAATCGATGCAGTTGCATCGATTTATTTAGCATTTGTTCACTTAATACTACTTCATAGACAAAACTTTCCCAGCACTATAAAATGTGTATATTCTCGTCTTTTTATCTCATTCAGCTCTATGAAAATAGCTTGACAATTTGACTTTTCAGCTTCGAAAGTTAACTATTTTCTACACATTAGATATTCTTCGTTAAATTTTCCTCCTTAACTTTTTGCAGAAATAGTATCTATCAGGTTTTGTAGAGAATTTCACGGCGCATCCTTTGAGAAGAGACAGTCAGGTCTAAGCGTTGAAAATAAAAGTTATAGTCAGAATACTAAGAGGTCCATTATTTATGTGCCACCTATTACATAGAGAATGTGTTATTTCAGAAAATGTATTATTTTAATGTATATTCTCAATTTCTATAATATTCATAGATATACATGATTACTTTTTCATTATTTATATTATGAGAACCTTTTATTGATGTATTTTTTTTTGTTCTCTAATGAATCATCTAAATTATTTAAATTCATTTTGAAAAGCATCTCACAAATTTTGATATTCGGGCAATAAAATTTCTAATTTTTGAAGTTTTCTTCATACACGGATAATAAATAATACGCCACAAAAATTGAAAATGTTTACCCATACATGTATCTATATATATGTTTACTGTCAAATACTCAAATAAGTTTCTTCAAATTAAATATGAATACGAGTCTATATGTAAGATGTCGATTTTTGAATGATTGCATATATTTGATTAACTAACATTTTCTAAATGAAGTCCGATTCGACGAATGACATGCATTTCATGTATTTAAATGGAAAGCATTTATATTATTCTATTTTAAGAAGCTGTATGATGATTGTAAAGTTTTTTCGTGACAAGTATTTATTTTTATAAAACATCATAAAATCTAATCAAATAATATTTGATAATGAACAGATATTAGATCGTGGAAAAAATAGGATCGATTAGTGAATAGCATATGGAAAGCGTGATGACACAAAACAAAGCTTGATTAAATTGCAAACGTATAAGAGATTTTTATTGGAAGATTAAAATGCGAAAAAAAAGAAAAATTTTTTTTTTTTTTTTTTATAACTCTTTTAAAAGTTGAAAACCTTGATCAACTATTGTTTGTGTTTCTTTGAGAAGTTTAATGAAATCTTGTTTTGTTGTATCTGAATCCAATAATAATTGAATCGTTTCTTGCATTTTTGAATAGTTTTGACCAAGTTGTATTAATCCTTTACGAATTTCTTTCAAATTCTTCATAATCAGATCTAACTCCGATGCATGTTGTGCTACATGCATTACACTTGTTGCCATTAATGATGCAATAGTTATTGATCCTGCTGTTGTCAAATATACTCTCAAAGTTGTTGTAAAGCCTGAATCAGCAAAAAAAGCCAACTCCAATGCCAGTTAGACAAGCAGCGACACCAATACCTGCCATCATACCAAAAATATTTCTCCATTGTTTTAGTGCTCGTTGATCTTTTAATTTTTCTTCGAGGATTGGATTGAGTTCAAAAAATCTTTGTAATAATTCTTGAACAGTTTCAATCATTTCTTCTATTATTTTGATATTGATTGATTCCATTAATTCCTTTGATGTTTGAGCTCGAGAAGCTAATATCAATGATCTTGTTAAAAATTTTTGATTTTTTATCAATAATTTATTATAGTTGTTGAATACTTCATAAATTTGCTTTTGATGTTCAGTACTTAATTGTGGTAATATGACTTTCACTGCACCTTGAAATTCTAGAATAGCAGCAGTTGTTAATTTTACTGTTTCTCTGACTCCATTTCCAATCATATGAACAGCACTGCTAAAGTCTTGTGGTTGAATTCGTGAACCATTATCTTGTGTGATTGTAGAAGTTGTTACTCTATGACGCCGTTCGGTTGCCATTTATAGTATTTTACGAGATGAATCTGAAGTGATAAAAAAAAATTTGTCAGTACAAACCTACTGGAGCTCAATTGTAGAACTTACATGTGGTCAAAACCAGCCATCGGTCACCTATGCATAGGGAGGGTTCGAACTCAAAAGTAGAGAAAGCTGAGTTTCCCATTGAAAAGAGCATGATCAATAGTGTATGAAATGGGAACGTTTCTGTTCCTGAGCAACTTTAAATGTCTCAGACACACGAAATTTTTCTTAGGATAATCAACTCGAAAATTTGTGTGAAAGATAGTAGTGGAATACGTCTTTAAATAAACACGAATGAATAGAATAAAAATTCTTCAATTAGATATGAATCGATAGAATACGAAGTACTCTTTCAACACATAGCCTTTATACAAATGTTAGATATCTACGAAACAAGATAATGCT